GATAAGCGAATTGGCTAATCAAGTTAGGAATTATCAGAAAAACAGATCGGATCATCTTAAAATACTTGATTACGATTGGTTAATTTATTTATTGTTTAAATTTTATTATTTATATTTTTCACCATTAGTCTATTGTGAAATTGTAATTTACTTAGAAATGTTCAAATCTTAGTAAATCTTGATCTCAAATATTTCGGTGATGCTGTAGTACTATTTAACCTTATGTAAGTTTTCTGAACATGCTGTCGTCCTTCAGTTTTCAAAAAGCGCTGAAAAATTCATGAAAGAGAAATGAAATTTATGTTAAAAAATTTCGTGAAGATGAACTGGTGCCAGGAACCACCGGTTGGCGTGTCTGAAGACTCGGTCCTAAGCTCTGCCATGCACAGATTATTACAGCTTTTATCGATTGTACCATGCTCCTATTGTTGATATCTTGTCGCCAGAAGCTCGATAAGATGACCGAATTTTATTTTAATTCATGTAAAAACCTATTCTTGCATTAATATCGAATTATTCCTACGATAGCTATTGTAATGCGTTTGCATGACGCTTAAATTTCAGCCAACTCTGCAATAGAAAAGCAACTGTTTGCATAGTTAATTTTAATATGTTTTAATATCTTAAAAAATGAATTATATTAAAGAATTTGTTTTAAATTTGTACTCAAAAAGATTTTGCTGAGATATTTAAAAATTTGATCAAATACAAATCTAAAAATAATGATTTTGTTGGGCTATCAAAATTATTAGAAGTTATAAAAGCTTTGATTCTTAGCTCTTTAAGATTTATCTTCTTGATAGACGATAGACAAAATTTAACAATTGTCTTCTAAATTAAAAAACGATTAAGATTACTTAGTTAAGAAGGGGAATTAAGAGACACGGTCGGATTTGCTAAATCACGCACGGCAAACTACAAAGTATATCAACGATCCCTATAATTGAGAGTGTCTCAAATTATCGGATCTCAGTAACGACTAGGTCAATCGAATTCGAAATAGACTCAATAAATTTAGATCATATGGTACGATTATAATAACTGTGAAAAACATTTTTTTAAGCAAATTTTATTTTAAATTTTTATGTATCCGCTTCTTTTTAATTATGCATTATTATTCGGTTTTGAATATCGAAGCTGGAATTACAAATTCATATTATTAAATCGATATTCGCTTTTAAAAAAATAATTTAAGCTAATCGTTTTTATTTGTCATGCAATCTTATGCAAGATAAAATTTGATATTGAAGATAAATGAGTCTCAAGGAAAATTATGTTTATCGAATGTATGATCTCAGTAGATAAATTAGAAACATGATATTACCAATTGTCAATAAGCAATATTTATAATGTCAATTATTTAGTTCTATGCGGTACAGTTTTAGGCAAGAATTGGCGGGAATTCTACATTTCTGTCTCATATATATATATATAGGTTAACTTTCTGTCAAAACATTTTATATTTACACGAGTATTTAAATATAAAGAAATATTTAAGACGTCTGAGCTTTTTGCGTTCTAGTGAAATCCAAATCAAGACTTGATTGACAATGGCAAAAGCATTGTGTGAACGGTAGATTTTTTTCTATTTTAACGTTATATATATATATATAAGTATGTAGTATTTAATTCAATTATTATTGAACATTATTTACTTTGTGTTATAAATACAGAAATAATTCCAAAAGAATGTCGTACATCGATTGGGACGAATATTTCATGGCTATAGCATTCCTTTCAGCGAAACGGAGTAAAGATCCCTGCACCCAGGTCGGTGCATGTATCGTTAATAACGATAAAAGAATTGTCGGGATTGGATATAATGGAATGCCCATGGGATGCAGTGACGATGAATTTCCCTGGAACAAAGGTTCTTGCACTAGTTTAGACGCGAAATATCTCTATGGTATAATTTTATATATTATATATTTTATATGTGTATGTATGTATGTATGTATGTGTGTGTGTGTGTGTATGTGTGTGTGTGTGTGTATAACATAAAATCTATATAAAATGAGATATATTATCATTTACTTATTTAATCTGTTATAGTATGTCACGCGGAAGTTAATGCGGTTTTAAACAAAAATTCAAGCGATGTTAAAGACTGTACAATATATGTTGCTTTATTCCCATGTAATGAATGTGCAAAAGTGATAATACAATCAGGCATCAAAACTGTGATATACATGTCTGATAAGCATAGCCACAAAGTCGTGACAATAGCTTCGAAAAGAATGTTTGATGCAGCTGGTGTAACATATAGGTATATTGCCTTTTAAAATTGCTGTATCATAATTTATTGTCTTTTTATTGATACTGTTTATTGGTACTGTGCAATCATACAGAGGTTTCATGAGAGATCGTTTGTTTTATTGCAGGCAATACATCCCGAAAAATCAAAAAATAGAAATTGATTTCAGCGATATTAACTGGAATGAGATGAGCCAATTACCACAAACCCCGACAAAACCAGAAGATTAGAAAATGAAATGAGGTGATTAAAATCATTCTTTAGGTATAAATAAATCCATTTTGATAATGGAGATATACATCTTATTTTTCTCTTATTCTTTTATAGAACAGATATATTTTGGAAAGATTTTTATAGAAAAATGCATGACTGCAAATAATTAGTACATTGTGATATGTATAATAAGAAAAATGTTTCTTCTCATGTGTTTGTATTCATTTATTTATTTTTTCACTTGACATTTCATAGATTGAATTTTTTCAAGTAATGCTAACCACCAGATAGCACGTGAAAATACAACTTACGATTGTATTGCTGAATATTGATTGTTTTTTTTTGTTTTGGAAGTTCAGAGACACTAATATTTACATATAAAAGTATTAATTAAGAATAGGTACAAATGCAGGTGAAGCAAACCTGCTCTTTTTTTAATCTTCATAGATCTGAATCCTGTTTTCTAATATTAATTAACCAGATGACGTGAAAAAAATAAATAAAACAATATAGAGAAAGCAAAACAATTGCGATAAAACTAAGGTAGATTTAAGTATACGACACAACTCTCAATTTATGCGTTTTACCTGCTGTACAAATGTAAACAGTGACACAATGTTCTTATGGCATAATAGAAATATGTAACAATGTTTATTTTTCTCTTTGAATTAAGCGGAGTAAAGGTAGACCAGTTTTACATGATATAATGTTTCCATAGTGATGTAATATAATAAAAGGAAACGATTAAACGTAAAGATGTTTTGATACATATATATATATATGTATATGCGCGTGTGTTAATACGTGTTTTATGTACATACTATACATATTCGAATTCGTTAATTCAGTTAAAATGCTATTTCATTTATTTCCTCAGTCATGGGTATAATGCGAGGAAAGTTAGAGACAATGAGCGTGATTACATTACGGAATCTGAATTCATCACATAGAAGTCTTTCGAGTTATAAAAAAATTGAGATTACAGCACTGATTATATATCGCAATGTGAAATTGATGAATAGAATATTTCTAACTGAAATGGAATGTTGGCATTATATTTCACACCAATATTCTTCCACTTTGCTATATATTTGGTATACGTCAGAATGAGCAAGTATAAATATATTGTTTATTAATACAATTACATCACATTTATAAAACAAAATGTACAGAGAATATGTAGCTTTTATTATTTGTGACTATTTGGAAATAGTATAAAATGCACAAGTTTCTATTCGATTATATATAATATTATAATATTCGAATATCTTCTGTGCATAAAATTGTTTATTTAATAAAAGACTCAATTATTTAAATTGAAATTCCAAAAAGAGATTATTACTTTTATAAAATAATTATACCAATTCTGTGTGATGAATCCAATTATATTTAGAAATGGAAGAAGATATGGTTTCGAAAATAATCCAAGCTAGCTTTTCGTGCAATATTATGTTGGCGATTGAAAGACGAATCTAGATTCAGCTCTCGACAAATTTGATGCAACTCGCAATTAGCATTATTTATTTCCTATTTTTTGATGTCTGTGCCTATATACGCGTGATAAGAATTTTTATCACGGTAATAACCTCCGGTAAAGATTGGAGCGATTAATATATGTAAACTTCCTCATGAACACATGAAAATTATGACATATAGAATTCATTCGTATTCTCTTTTGTAAAAATAATATTTAAAAATAAAAAAATTCGAAAAAAAGTCTTCAGTAGATGCACGGTCATGAAGCCTAATTATGTTTAATAAAAGTATATCATATTAATCATATAATAGTTGATATCATGTTTTAATCAATCTAATTATTTGTCGATTCCTTCCCTATCGATTCTAGAATGATTTTTCACCGCAATAAACAAAAGCGATTATATTAAATCTTTTCTAATTTTATAGTTCTATAATTTCGTGGAAGCAATTCCATGCATTTACAGAAGAAATAATTAAAAAATAATTATCTTCTCTTTCTCATAATCGACCTTATTTTGTTGAATTATTCCATCGACTCATCACTTGTCATTTTATAATAATAACCAATTGAGATATTTTATGGCTTGATTAAAGAGGTAAATGTATATTATAACTAATACAATCAAACATAGATATCTACTATGTTTATGATTACTGTTATGACATGTTTGAAGAGGTGATAAACATTCAGACAATATTGATCAGCGGCAAACCATTTGTTGCTCATTCAAAAGAAAGTCGTAAGATGTTATACACTTATTGATATAGTACCTGAAATATATACAAACATTATTAATAGCTCAGTAATATCTATCGGTCATTTCGTATTGAAAATGGTTTTACAGGAAAACTGAAAAAACTTATAAATATGTAGCATTATTTTCGGAAATCAAACGAGGTAATCATAATATTCTTCGACTTGTACCGGTAGGCTTTAAACCTCTTGTTTATTAAAATTTCCGCAATTCGTCGATGTACACACGTACGATGATATTCGCTATTAACACACTAACGGCTTTTCGATTTATGATATACTTTGGTAGTTTGCGTATACAAAACGCAGTTTATCGTTCCTATAGTAACTTTCACAGAGACTTTCGCAAACGGACACTACTTCCTTATTGACTTCTCGATGGAATATCAGGGCTCCAATCCAAACGTAGATCATTACCCTGGGCAAAAACGCAGGAATAAAATGTGTATCTAAGAAGAAAAGCGTTAGATTTTGTTCATTCAAATCAACAGTTCACGGATGAGATGAACCAGAAGTTAGTACACGATGTGGGAACGGAGTCCATCCAAATGCGACGACGGACATGCACGGTACAGTATTCGGTGCTTCGATGATCGTCTAGCGTTTTGCGGCCTCTACATAGTAGAGTATTATGTAGGCATCGCTGGAAATTATACACCTTAAGTCGAGTAGAAATATTCGCATTAGAGCGCGCGTATGTATGTATGTATACAAGTCTTGTCTTTTTGTACCAATGTGTTAGTCTCGCACGTGTTATTTTACACACTGCACGTCCTATACCACAAAACAGTCCGCACTTTTGTCGATTATCTCTCCTCTCATCCCGATCCCCATCCCACTCGTCCCGTTTAGCGTCGCCGCCCACGATAAGTAGAACTTGTCAAATTAATCGGTCTCGATTGTTAACTAATATTTAGCTAAGTCGTCCTTTCTTTCTCTCTCTCTTTCTTTCTCTATTTTCTTTCCTGTAAAAATTCCGGACCGCGTTCCAGAAATTGTAGGCAGTCCGCGCCTCGTCGTATTATAATTTATTAGGATTGTTTATCCAGCACTATCCCAGCACTGTTCGCACTACGTGAAATACTCTCGGAGAACAGTTCGCATACAACACATGCTTTACTCGATTAGTTATTTCGCCAATTTCGTTTTTTTTTTTTTTTTTAACCGTCGGTCTACCTTAAAACATGATTTTTAACGTCCTCTAACGCAGATCAGAAGAAACTTCCGCATCCCTCCATTGACTTGCCTAATTACGATAGCGATTCAGTGACGCTGCAATAGCGCGTGCCTGGATCAGTTTTTGATCGAATTCTCCTTTTCTTGATGATTATTGGTTTTCGGCTCAGGCGGCCGAAACGCGGTGGCGAATGGGAATCGCACATGGCATTTCGCCATGTAATCGGCTATCGTATCGTCACAGTGTCCGAAGTCACCGTTACGTAATGCCTCGAGCACCTTCGTACAGTTCTGCAACGTCACGCCTTCGAATTCCTCGAAGTTCGTTACAAGGGATAGCGCCTTCGTCTGCGCGGACGGGTCCAAAACGTATAACATCCGCGCGCCTTGCAGCAGATGCGGCAACGAATTCCTATTTTTCTTCAAGTACTCAGCGTTCAATTGTGCCGCCTTCGTACTGGAGAAGATTCCCGCGGTCTGACGTTTCACTACCTCGCCCACTGCTCCTTCCAGCGGAGATTTATTGATGTGCAACAGAAAACGTACTAAACATGTATGCAGATCTGGATTGTTCATGTCCAATCTATGAGCACGTTTTATTGAGCGTAGCATGAGAAGAGTGCGACCTGTAAGAGAAACAGACATTTGTTATCTTGCACCAACTGATTATTAGTCAAAATAATTTCTATCGATTGTGACTTTTGATTTGTATACGTTAATTAATTATACTTCTAAAGTACCTTTCCGAATATATATTTCGAAAGCCATGAGATGCGTTTCTATCCGATTCGATGCCAATTCCTGCAAGGGCTGCAAGAATTTTATCGCTTGCTCCAATGGATCTTCGATCTGAAGAAATATATTTAATTGCAATTCAAAAACGCATATATTTAACGCCGATCTCTTACATATATTTTTATACTCGGAATAAAAGATTTTTTAACATTCAAATAATAAAGTCAATCGATTTAAAAACTAATGCTCTTCTTATTTCATTTGTACTTACCCTTTCTAACTTTTCCGGAATTAATTCATCTAGTGTGGGCTGCTCGAGATCAGGATCGTTCTGCTGTCGAGATTTGTTATGCTGCTCCCTTTTTTCTTGAGCTTGAGCGGCCTGCTGCCGTTCGAGTTCGGCCTTTCTGCGTTGTTTCCTCTGTTTGTTCCTCAGCTTTTTCAGTTCGGATGGCGCCAAGTTTTCTGCAACACGACAAAAAAACGTCAGTTTTAATATCAAAATAATCGATATACAGTCATTTCACGCTTAAAGAAAACGTGCAGAAACAAGTTCGTTTATTCAGCAAATATGATGTACAATCTATTTATAGTTTACGTTTGTTGATCATAATGCGCGATTTAAACAAAAATGATCTTCTGTGTAATAATCACTTCCTCTTTATAATTCAACAAGCGAGATTACTCAATATTGCCGCGCATAAATGCAGGGAGCTGTAGACTTTTGATTTTTTTCATTGTTACGCAAGTTTCTTCTCCCCTTCCCCGCCGCCCTTCGTTTTCCTAAAGCAAGTGAGACCAGTTTCGACATAGTTTCCGCCACGGCTTCTACAAATATCACCGTGATCTCTTCGCGTCGGGGCTCCTGCTGACGTACTTGCCAAGGTTGTACGATACTTCACGACATGGTGGATAAAACACCGGCCGGTTTCGCAGTATTTTTTCCACTTTTCCTCGCGTTCGTTCGTGGCCAGACCTACTGACAATTGTTTAGTAGGTCTGGCATACGTGCACGTGCCTCGCGTGCTCGCGTTAGTCACGTGTATGCCCGCCGGGTATCGTGGGACGGTGGCAGAAGTAGAAAGGAGTCCTGCGCCGAGCTGCGTGATCGTTCACCGAAAACCGTGTATATCTAAAGCATTCCGCGAAAATGTCGATTGATCGTGAAAATGATAGCGAAAGATCGTAACATGCGCCTTCCCGCCTTTTACATAAGGCGGCGGTAACGTAATGACAGGATACACCGAGAAGTCTGGGTCACTTCTGTTGAACTCCAAGATATGACGTAGCATTCATTCTGATTCCTTGCCAGTGTATATATTTTTGAAAATTTTATCGATCCTACATTTCTCAGATGATTACTTTAAATTAAATTCTTTCCCAAGCGTAATAACAATAAATAATATTGTTATTGTACATGCCACATTATTGTATTTTCCACATTATTTTCTTATCACTAAAAAAAATTCTTTTTTTTTGTTTTATGACAAATAACTGATTATCTATTCTCAGAAGTATTTAATAAATTAACGTTGAAGTGAAATAGGCAAAAAAAATCATATTTTTCAATGTAATTTTTTATCGATCAACCATCTCGAGAGATTAGTTGATTAATGATCGCTACGCGGAAAAGTGGGGCATGTAGTTTCGATTGTTGCGCTAATTCTTCGGCATTTAGCTTGCTCAGTGGGCATCCACGCTTTAATTACAGCTATATTAATTCGGCATTATAGTGCGAAAATCAGGAGCGCTTTCCAATTATGTAAGGGCTAGTCAATGCGTTATTAGAACGCGGAAAGACCGCTGCCATGCTCCGCAAATTCGCGAGTGTTGTAGGCGTTACTTCAGAGAGGATTCACTCGATTCCTTGAAAGCGATTCTACTTTATTTTTTACATAAGAGTCTACGCATTATTTTGATGCCAATTACAACCTGTGCGATTCATATGAAATTCATTCGAAATCGTTAATTATCAATGCATATCATCTGCGATGTCATCCGCGTAATTAAGAGTAAAAATTATTTTCTTTTGTGTAATATCGACATGACAATACTTTCCTGTCGTATTTTATTATTATTGTCGTGTATATTTTTGAAAATTATAGAAATGAATTATAAAAGTTAACCGTTTTGGACATGATTCATGATAATTAACGTCTCTCCAAGAAGGCTCTGATTAATGCTGAGTAAATCGCGGAAACTTTCACTATTAATTGGGCGTCGGCATGCAAGGATCGACGGTGAATTTTTCATCCTTGATAAAGTAAAAGAGGACCTTGAGCGCGCTCAAGAATGTGGAGCAACAGGCGGTACCGACGTGCAAGCCTTTCATGCAAATTGCATCCCTCTATGAACGCACGTGCGTGTGCGATTGATTACATGTGACATATCGAACATATCTGCAACATTGTAAACTCAAGCATTACTTTTTTTTTTTTAATACGAAAATCTGATCATTCTCATTAATTGATAGGATCTCAATCGTTGCGATTTCCTCTTGGGAAATTCGATTTTGCGCTTTCGGGGAGAAGCATTCTTATGCAAATCACTCGGTCGTTTCTCCGCGATGTTACCCATTCGGTAATTTACGCGCTGCGAATTTCGCTAGTAATTCCAGTCGCGTTAGAAAGCGCGATGCAGGGCAATGCACTTCGAAATCAGCGGCCAAACTTGGCTCTGATTTATGCGCGACATTATATACGTGCCTTCCTACGGGCGGTGTTCCGCGAAATTAAATCGTTTCTTCGATCGCCTTCGAACGAGGTGCGACCGCGCCTTAACGCGTACCGTTATGTCCCACGAGTGATTTGCATTCCCACGCGAGCATTGGGATCCAATCCACGTGAATAATATATTCGCGCTGCATTGTCAATTATTGTTGCTTTGACTCGCGAGCGAAAGAAGAGCTCAAAACTGATACGCAAATTGACACGGCTCCTCCATTTTTTACTTTTATTTTTAAAAAAATATCTGTCAAGAGTTTTTTCTTCTCTAATCCATATCCCAATGATGCATAGTGAGTTCACAAATTGTAGCATTTAATAAAACAATGGCTTCCAAAACTGAACCATCATTTTTTTTATTGAATATAAAAGTGATTTTCGAAACGACAAAAATGATCGTGCAAACTCATAAGAAGAACTCGATATTTAACTTACTTCACATGTAATAAACGCATTGTGTGAGCATCCACGATTTCCCTACGACACCCACAGGGTGATTTACGTAATGTGTATTTGCAGCCTTCTCAGTGCGTTGCAACTTAGCCCATATCCCGTCGAGCTATGACGAATGGATCATGTTGAATTCATCTCTTATCCGGGATATTCGCGCGGCTTGCGAATTATGCATTTTTCACGGCTGTGCATTCGAGCTGGATGGAATAGTTTATTCCACCGTGGAAATTGCGCGCGAGGATATCGTCTATTTTTTTTTCTCTCTTTCAATTGCAACGATCCACGCAGTCATTATCGTCTCGCGTGTGGGCGAGATGAGTCGTTGGCGTGTTTTAACAGAAGCACGAGCCGACGCCGACACGAGAGATGCACCGACTTCGTGTGCAACGAATTCGGTCGACGGATTTGCCGCGTAAAATAGTCGCGGTTACGTAAGGGTGGCAGAAATTATGGGGGCGCGGCGAGAGTGCGCGCGGGGAAAGGATGTTCACGTTTCAAGCGTCGTCGTTAAAAGACAAAGAAAAAGCATGCGACTGATGTCTGTCATTATCTCCGTCGACAATATTATTCTCTAATTAAGCACGCAGAAAACTCAAAGATTTTTATCTTTAATTTCGTTAAGTTGGATCCTTTCGCACGTCAAGATTTTTCTTACGGAAAGGACCTTCCTCTTGCGACATACTCTTAACCGTCATTGAATTAAAGTGATTCACTTAAATTCAATGCAATGATTCTGCAGCAAACGCAAGAGCATGACTCGACGAAAAATTGCGTTCAGATAATTGCTACCAATAATCTCGTTAATTCCACCTTGTGCATGGTAAAAAATTGATGGATGCGAATACAATGTGTTGATGAATAATTAAACAGACTAAAAAATAATACACATGGAAAAAACAATTTTGTTGAATCATTAAATAATTAGGATGCTTAAGAATGATAATACTGTAAAAATTTTTTAATATCCTACCTAATAATTATTTCGATGGTCCGACGAAATTATTTTTAAATCTGGCAAAATTTTTAGATACTTCAGCAAAACTGTATTTTTTCTGTATACGAATATGAAATACGTATTATTGAAAAAAAATAATCAAATTAATTTTTATATTAATTTTCGATGTTTATTTACAAGTTAAAACGTTACATAAAATGAAATTCAAGAGCACTTTACATTTTATGTTACGTGATCTTGGTCGAATGAGTTTTTTCGAGGAAGTCGGCGGTCAGAAATCCAAGAGGTACATTCAAGAAACCGTTTCTACACGATGTCGTGACATAAATCGCGTCGATTTATTACCGACAGCAATATAGAATCCAGTTCCGCGTCAAGTTCCTGTATATCACGGCGTACATCACGACGCAGATTGCTCGCAAAAATTCCACCACATTTAATTGCGGACAGATTACATTCTTTCGATACCGGCATAATGAATGCGCGTAACGGGCAGAATAATCAACGGTCGATTAATTACACCGATTAATTACACCGCGAATGTTACGCAGCTGTTGCCTTGTCGAGCACAATCGGTTTCGTTAAATGAGGTAAAATACGGTGATAATTGGTGAACCACAATGCCTTTTTTACGCCGTATGACATAGAACGGAATCAACCTACTTACGGGTTAAACGAATATTTCATACCGGATAATGTCGGAATAACCGACGATGATGCCGGCAACGGCCGTATATAATCGCAAGAAAAGGCGTCATTAGCGTAATCGCTATTTCAGCCCCGTATATCACCTCGACGAATAGTCGATCTCCGCGAACACAAACGGCTCTCCGTTACAACGGTTGCCTTTATGGTATAGAGGAGTGTTTATATTAGATCGGCAGAAAAGAGCGGTAAACTAGCTCGATGAGACGCTTTGATTCTCTCGATAATCGCCGGTCGCGAACTCATTAACGCTTCTTACGTCATCCTAATGAGTGGGCAAGGATGATATGCCAATGTCGTTACGATTCAATCGGAGCCATTAAGGACACAAGACCACGTCGCTCTTTTACATCAAAGAGTCCGATTGCCGTCGATTATTACCGAGACATGTTTATAATACCAATTACATAATAACGAATGTTAGCTGTTTACGCTTTGAGAGTTAAACTTGCTTTCTTGTTACATTCTTGAGAAGCTAAAATTTATATCTTCCCCTTATAAAAATATTCGAAGATCTACTCTTTTTTTTTCTTCATTTTAATTAATGATAATTTTTATGAAATATCTATAAAAATGTTTAATATAAATTTTTTTTACGCAAAGATAACTCATCTTGAGTTATCTTTTTT